AGTTACAAAATTTACAATACAATTTCAGTACAATAGGGTTAGGAGCATCCTGCTCGTGAGAGCTTACAATATTGTAGGAGGGGCAAGTGATACATGATACTTGTTTAGATTGAGTTATTGGAAGAAGTAAAGGGGCTGTTATGTTGAGGTGGGATAGGCTTCCCTGAAGAGATGAGTTTTTAAGGATCTGCTAAGGGTGGGCAGCATAGGAGATATTTTATGGTCTCACAGCCAATTGTTTCTCATACATCTGTGACTGGCATATCCTATTCAAAGCTAAGCAACAGGTAAGTCTCGTCTTCTGCCTGGTAACCACATGTGCAAAAGGCTGCCATAATTACGTGAAATGACCTCTGCACTAAATTGCCATGTCGCCTCACTCCCGCTCAGCTAGTACTTGTTTTTCAACCTTCCCCTAGCAGAGGAACAAAGGTGAAAGTACAACTCTCAAGTCAAAGTGGACTGAGAGTGGCTAATCAGCATATTAGCAGCAGCAAATTGTGAAACGTTCCATGTCAAGTAAAGGTTTAGGCCTTCCAACAAAGACAAAATATACCTTTATTTCAAGGCATACAAAATGTGTTATTTACACAGTGGCAACTAATCTTTACTGCACAAGAGGTGCTTGTACAGTTCAGGGTCAGACCACACATAAGCTGCCAAGTCTACTATGTTACATTAGCCAGCTATGAAATAACAGTCATGCCTGCAATTGGCTGAAGCCGGTTTATCGACAGGGTATATGTCGCACTAACTTCTAACTGCGCATCATTTGGAGATTATGCAGCCTCAAGGTGCCCATACACCTGCCGATTATCGTACGATAATAGCGGGTGATCCCGCGATCGTACGATAATCGGCAGGTGTATGGAAGGCGTGCGGCCGTTTCTATTGTACGGTCGCACGTCTTTGGTCTCCTGAGCAGGCTTGAAAACCCGCCGAGAATCGTACGATTGTCGGCGGGTTAGTGCGTTCTCGGGAGACAAATGCCGCACAGGCCGGTGTCACACTGCCCGCTCAGCATTGCAGTCATCGGAAGCCCTCCCCTCAGCGGGGCGGGCTTGCGATGATCGCAAGTCCGATCTGCCTGTCCAAGATGGGCAGATGGTACGAGCTTTAAGACCCCATTCACACTGAGCGACATGCAAATCGCGCGACTTTGAGCGACATTGAGCGACATTGAGCGACGTGTCGCGCGACATCTTCCTATTGGGCTGTATGCAATCAGGAGCAATATCGCTCAAAATCGCTCTAAAAAAGGGTCATGTAGAAGCGACAAGCTACCAGCGACGAGCTACAAGCGATATTGAGCGATATTGAGCGACATTGAGCGACGAGATGTGAACAGCTACATTGAATTGTATTGGTGAAGCTACATAGAGCGATATAGTGCGGAAATATGAGCGATATCGCTACAAAAATCGCGCGATAAATCGCTCAATGTGAACGGGGCCTTAATTACCTTACAACCATCGCCAGATGAAAGTCGTGCGATGGTTGTAAGGTGTATGGCCAGCTTAACATTAATTATCATATTATTACTGTATGATGCAAATAAAATTTAAAAAAAACTTTGCTGCTCAGTGTTAAAATAACAGTATGTGCATATTACGTTCTTACAATTTCAGCATTATGTATGAAACATATGAAAAAAGGTTTCTTAGAAGCAAGCCGTTAATGGGGCACAGGCCCTTCGAAAGCCAAAACAAATGTTCCAATGGCTCCTAACAGATTCCAATGCAGTTAAGTGCATACTGCTGAATAAAAGCAGATGTTGATGAGTGAGCTTTCAGCAGCTGGATCATTTTCTATGGGGAATAATCTTTAGGGGCTCATTGCTCATTTACAGCTACCCATACTCAATGCATGTTCACTGTGAAGAAAGAGGCATATGCCAGGTCCTGTTTTCTTCTTTTAGTGTCCAGAGGCCTCTCTATGGGTATAGAGAGATGTGCAATACATATGATCCATCTTCCTGATGTGCTCGGCGAGTACAAGACACTACAGAAAATAGAAATACATACAATCTGCTTGTACTTACATTAATTGTGAATGATTTCTAGTATGCTGGTAATCTAATCATGCTGGCAATCATCTGAGATATGCTAGTATTAAAGGCAATATCTGGGGGGGGGGGGCCCCCCCTTCTTGGTGGTTTGGGGT